TCCCTCCCCTGTAATGTCCTCCCCCCCTCCAATAATCTCCCCCCTCCCTCCCCTATAATCATCTCCTCACCTCCCCTGCCCTTCTGTAGCGTGGCCGAGCTGCTTTCCGGTCCGCGACCCGGCGGGACTGATAGGAAGTGCACACTGAGTGTGCACTTCCTGTCAGTCCGGCCGGGTCGCGGACCGGAAAGGAGCTCGGCCACGCTACAGTGCCGGGGAGGTGAGGCACTGCGCAGCCGCCTGAGCGCTCTCTATAGAGCGCTCAGGCGGCTGCAGAATTTAAAGGGCCGGCGATGGGGGCGCAGGGCGCCCCCTCCTATATGGCGCCCTAGGCGGCTGCCTAGTTCGCCTTATAGGAAGCGCCGGCCCTGGTTCCAGGCAATTCATGCGTACGCCCGCTGACCGCATTCGTGAGTTTTAAGATGGCCGCCATCCTTTGTTCTCGCCACGTGTTCGTATGCCAAATGGCGGCCACCCAGGAGTAATCAAGTTGTGGTTTTCTCCCCGTTCTAATGCTGATTGCTACCCAGGGTAGGTGGTCTCGCGTTCGGTAGACGAATACAAGCTTTCACATACATAATCAAACGAACTGAATACAAGCATTTAAACAGCAGGGAGAGGATATAACTGAAGGCACACAGGTAAGTACAAGAGATCCTTCACATATACATATATACTTATGTATATAGATATATATATTTTTTCATTCTACATGTATTTTGATATCAATATATATATATATATATATATATATATATATATATATATATATATGAATTTGAAAATACATTTAGAACAAATTTACACATATATATTTATTTTATTTATTTATGTTTTATTTTTTTAATTTTATTTTTTAACGTATTTACATATTTATTTATTTTATATTATATATAAATATATATAATGAAAAAAATATATATATTTAATCAATATCATTGTACGTGTATGTTCACATTAATATATATTTATAATTATATATATATATATTAATATTAAAATACACTTAGACAGTGTATGTGTGTATATGTGTATATATATACTTAGATCATATATATGATAAATCTAAGTATATTTTTTATTTTCAACTGTAACTTGAAAAAAATTTTTTACTTTTTACAGGCAGCAGGGGGAGTACCTGTCATTACAGGCACTCCCCCTGCTGGCACTGACATGGACGGCTATGCTCGCAAGGACCTCGAGATCACATGGCCCAGTGGGGCCGAAGAGGAAGGGCTCCCAGGTAAGTCCCCATACCACGATCGCTGGCATGGGATCGCTGGCAACCGGGTAAGTAGAAAGGACGGCTTGAGCATTCTATGCCGCCCGCTGGCGTTTAGAGCTGGGTCCCTAAGGACGGCATAGAACAGCTGCCGTCCTTAAGGGGTTAAACGCCTAGGTGCAACTGTGTACAAATAATGGATCCAGTATGCTTCCCGTTGTAGGAGAATTTTAGATCTGTCACCTCCAAGGGAAATCAAAAACTATGAAACGAAGTGTAGGTAAATGGTGTTGAGCTGTGCGTTGATCATGAAATGCCGCCATGATTCCAGATTGATGTCCTCTGATCCGATCTCTTACAGTAAGGTCCATTTTGCCAACGTATGACAGACCACAAGGGCATGTGATCATGTAAATAACGTGACCCGTGATACATGGATGTTTAATTGGAATCCGTTGGCCACTATGGGGATGTGCAAATGTGGGGCTAGTTAGCATATGGCTGCAGGTAACACACCTGATGCATATAAAACATCCCTTCTTTCTGATGTGTGATGGTTTTGTGTAACAATGAGTGGGGTCATTCCGGACCAATAGATCCCGGAGGTTTCTATTTCTTTTGTAACTCATAATGGGATGTTTCTAGAAAATTGATGGTAGCTTTGTGTCTATTATCCTCCATGTATATAGCTGGTTTTATCATTAACTTTATTTCTATTCACTTTATTCACTAGCCTTTGATGCTATTCACTTTGTAGACATCACGTCTGTACTGTATAGTTGTGTATTGGTATCCTAGGAACCCATGCTATTCCCCGCTGTGCATCAGAACTTCATGACATCACATGCGGCATCTTGACACTTCCAGGTGGTATCGTTCTGCGGGACATCGCTATATTGATTGGTAAGTGTATTTTGTATTTTAGTGTATGTTGACATGATTTTGTACACTCTTCTGATCTTGAAAAAGAGCTGCCAGGGTCGAAATGTCATTTTTTCCTCAGATGTAATTATATAACAATAAATCAAATTTTTTCACTGGAAGACCCGTGAGTGCACCCTTTATTATAATTTTGCATATATATATATATATATATATATATATATATTTACATATATAGGAAAACAAGGAGCTGACTGCACTCACCTGAACATGCTTAACCCCTTAAGGACACATGTGACATGTCATGATTCCCTTTTATTCCAGAAGTTTGGTCCTTAAGGGGTTAAATGGGGTGCTGCTGGGGGCCAATAAGTACAGTAAAAATGAAAATCCAGCGCACTCCCTTATCTACTAAACAGCTACTTTGGTGCTGACAGATTTTGCTAGTTTTATTAAAAACACCTAATCTAGGCAAAAAATAATGGGGGTTTAGTTACATTATATGATCATACATTGCATAAGCCTGCCACAACGTCAATGTACCCCATCTTTGGCAGGTCCTACTCTTACAACCAACTGTCTACTAAATGAGCTACTCACTTGGGGAAATCCTTCCATCTCTCTGCAGTACAAGGCTAAATAGGGTCCTGAGATGAGGCACCTGTGACAGGAATCTTTCCCACACTGTGTAAAATGACACAGAGCACTCTGATTGGGTAGCTTGAAATCCAGCCAATCAGAGTGCTCTGTGTCATTTTTCACAGCGTGGAAAAGTTCTTTGGAATTTTCCCACGCTGTGTAAAATGACACAGAGCACTCTGATTGGTTAGCTTGAAATCCAGCCAATCAGAGTGCTCAATGAGACAGCCACTAGAGGCTGGATTAACCCTCAGTGAAACAGCAATTTCTCTGAAACTGCTATGTTTTCAGCTACAGGGTTAAAATTAGAGGGACCTGGCACTCAGACCACTTCATTGAGCTGAAGTGATCTGGGTGTCTGTAGAGGTCCTTTAAGTGTATGTGTATCTGCATGCACTGGCGTACATACCGCGGTTGCAGGGGTCGCAGCCCTGTGACCCCTGCGACCAGCTGCCCACCGCCATGTGTTGCGGCCCTGGCAAGCGCAGAGTAAGCACGGGGGTTGCCCATGGATCAGTTTTCGCACCGGGGCCCCATGGGTTGTGTGTACACCACTGGCCCCCACCCACTGCCCAGGGCCTCCAAGCGGTGGGTGGAGGCCGAGGGGAGGACAATAGGTCCCCCCCTTATTCTAAATATAGGGCCCCCACCTGCCGCTCAGGGGTGGGGGCCGGGGGAAGAATAATAGGTCCCCCTATTGTTATTTAGAGCCCCACTACCGCGTGGGGTGGGGGCCAGTGGGGAGGACAGTAGGTCTCCCCCTCAATCTTATTTAGGGCCCTATTAAGGGCCCCCACCCACTGCTCAGTGGCCCCCTCATTGTTATTTAGGGCCCCCACCCGCCGATCAGGGGTGGGGGCTGGGGTGAGGACAATAGGTCCCCTCTCCCCCTTATTTTACTTTGGGGCCCCCACCTGCTGTTCAGAGGTGGGGGCCAATAGTGTTTTAGTAGACAGTAATTCAGCTCTGACCAGCTCACTGTTTACTAGACATGCCCCTGCTCGCGGTATAGCGAGTAGGGGCTGAATTTACTAATACTAAGTAATCTTTGCTTAGAATTAGTAAATGTGGCTGAAAGACCAATTTAGGTCTTTCAGCCTTTTGGTAGATAGCTCCCTAATACAGTGGGAATTAGGGAGTTATCTACTAAGCGGCTGCTTATTTTATGTTATTTTAAGTGATTTCCCTATCCACATTTGTTTGCAGGGCACTTGTCTAATCATAGAGTTAAATTCATCTCCAGGTTTAGGAAAATATTTACTCCCATTACAAATATTGTATGTATGCATTGACATATTCTATCTGAATGCCATCCTGATATCAAGGAGTTTGCTAACAAACCTCTAATAGCCTGCAAAAGGTGTCCTTCTCTGAAAATGAACTGGTCAGAGCTGAATTACTGTCTACTAAATCTAAAATAACTTAGATGGGTAATTTCCCTTGGTATGATTGTGTGGCATGCCACTCCATGATACAAGGACAATGGTTCTATCATCCATATAGTGGTTAAAAAAAATACTCTATAAACCATTTTGTGATGTGTAACTCCTCTTATGTGGTGTACACCCTTAAATGTCCCTGTGGATTTCTATATGTTGGGCAAACCTCACAAAAAAATAAAGAGACCTTTTTCAAACATAAATCTGCCATTCACAAATATGACTGACTTGCCTTTGACATTCCACTTCTCTCATTTACAATTCCAAATTATAGAGCATGTCCCTGAAACTTTGAGGAGGGGGTTAGGATTAAGAAATTACTTTTAAGAGAGGTGTTTTGGATCAGAGAATTGGATACGCTGTCTCCAAAATCACTTAACCAGGAATATGATTTATTACCTTTGAATTGAATAAGTTATTGTAAAGGATCCTGCTATTCGTGCAGCGCTGATCCTTGTAGCTTCTCCCGAAATCCAAGCTGAAGTAAAGTAAAGTAGTGATTATATCTCCCAATCCCCCAAACATGAGTTGAGACTTCATGAAGGGGTAAAACGATCTGCTTTATTGATGGCCAAACTTAGCCCTTTTATGATGGTCTCTCAGCAAGGGAACTCCCACATGGGACCTTGTGGAAGACTGTGACAAAATATACAGAACCAATCAGTATACAACACAAAAGTTAAACACACCCACAGTAATAGTGCAACCCCTCCTCTCTATCCTGGAGATAATGAACTTAAGTGGTGGAAGAGAACCTAATTATCTCCAGGTAGAGAAAAGCATGTCCTTTTTATATTTTCACAAAACAGTATTAAAATCTAAAACTTATATTTCACCGAACGTAGACTCTAAGTTCCACATACGCCCAGATAGCTTGCATCTGAGCACACATTATAGCCGAATAGCGCTCGGACCACACGAACACAGGTCTCAATATCGTCGAGTGAAGTTTTAATTCACCGGTTGTTCGCGAGATTGAATCCGAAAAGAGTTCCATAACTGTAGCTATCTGGGGTCGGTCTATTTCGTATAATAGAAAAGTCCCGAACGATAAAGTGTTCACTGTATTCGTGAGTTTTTAGCCGTATGAACGGGGAACATGGTACGCGCCAGTGGTGTTCGGCTGAATAAGTGTCCAAAAATAGTTCCAGAGAATCGCCGCCATTCCCCGCTGAGGGTTCGACGATTTTAAAATGGCGACCGCCACGTGTTCGGCAAACAAACGTGGACCACCAAGCCTTTCCTCAATTACCCTGCGGTTAACCGCAAGGTCTGGGCGGTAAATGAGCTGCACACAACCTCAGTAGGAGGTCGGGAGATCCAGTAGTTTGTTCGGTTTATTGCAACAGCACGAAATAGCCATCCATACGAATAAATAGCCGAAAGGCTGTTTCTTTGAGTCTGTTCAAACAGGGATTTTGTTACAGTTATTCTTTGATTCTTTCTAATATGTTTGTTTACAATGATGTAACGCTAAATATTTTTTTTCACAGGATATATGGTGCTGTTGCTGGTTTGGGTTACTTCTCACTTTCACCCTCTTAAGAAACCTTGCTTCAGCTGTCTATTGGGGATCGCCAATCTCCACATACATTAAATTGTCATGCATTTGGGACTTGTTTTTTTTAATCTAAGCACAGAGTATTTCACTAACTGTAATAATAATATTTTATATAACATGTGACTCTATTGTGATATTAATTTCACTGATTATATAATATTTTATTGCTATACACGATTTACTTGTTTATAGAGGTATCACATTTTGGAGAGAACGACACTATGGCACTATATCTAAACACTTTATTTAATATATACACTGTGTCTCTAACTGAGACAACTTTCTTTACTTGCACTTAACTGCATATTGCACTTTAATTTTTCACTTGCACTTTAATGTAATTTGCACCTTATTAGATACACACATAGTATTAGTAACTAAAATCATTTTTGGATATCATGTTTTTTATATCAAATATCTGTTTTAAAATGTTTATGTAAGAGCTTTTCTCTTAAATGCACTTGAAAAATATTTTTGTACAATAATTACTTAGTCCCATTTATTTGTATATTGTATATATTGATATTTGACAGGTGAGACTTTATACATATTGTAATACTTATATTCTCCCTTATGGAAATTTTCTTTCAAATGCACTTCAGATATTTTTATTGTAGAACTTTATTGTATAAAATAATGTATGATGTAGTCTCATTTATGTGTGTAGTGGTATTTAGCAATGTAGGTATTTTATTTATGTATGTATTTATATGTATATATATGTTTATTCTTTTCTTTTTCTCTTTCTTTCTTTTTTCTTTATTTTTGTATATATATATACTATTATTTTTTATTATTTTCTCTTTTTTTAATTTATTTGTTGATGCTTTGTATTTATTATATTTTTTCTACAATTATTTTTATTTTTAATTTTGTTCTATTTTAGTCTGTCATTTTTTTCATTCATTCATTTTTCATTCATATTTCTTTTTTCTTTTTATATTGCTTAAATATTCTTGTTTGTTTGTGTTGGTTTAAACGCATGTGCCTGTTCGCATGCACCGGTGGCAGTGGCGTACTAAGGGGGGGGCGGAAGGGGCAGTCCGCCCCGGGTGCCACTAGGGTGGGGGGTGCCATGACCCTGGTCTGGGTGCTGGAGGGGGCTGTGTGAGCTGTGGCCGCACAGTGCCCCATGGTAGCACTAAGAGCAGCTGAACTGGCTGCACAGAGGTAAATTGGGGCGGAGCTAATTAAAAATCGGGGCGGAGCCAAACCGGGGGCAGGGCGCGGGGCTTGATATGGCCCTTACCGGTTTCTGCTGTCAATGCTGCACATGGAAGTGCAGCAAGATGGAATCCCTGCCTCTCCACAGGCTTCAAGGAATCCAGTCCTCCTCCAGCCCACTGTCTGTAAGTAATAGTGTGTGACTGTGACAGTGTGTGTGTGTGTAAAACTGTCTGTAACTGTGTGTGTGTGTGTGTGTGTGTGTATGTGTGTGTGTGAGACTGTCTGCCTGTAACTTTGTGTGTGTGTATGTGTGTGTATGTGTCTGCCTGTAAGTGTGTGTGTGTGTGTGTGTGTGTGTGTAACTCTCTGCCTGTGACTGTGTGTGTGAGTGACTGTATATGTGACTTTCTGTCTGTAACTGTGTGCGTGACTGTCTGGCTATGACTGTGTGTGACTACCTGTAACTGACTGTGTGTGTAACTGTCTGCCTATAACTGTGTGTGTGACTGCATGTGACTATGTATGTGTGACTGTCTGCCTGTGACTGTTTGATGTTGCCTGTAACCGTGTGTGTGACTATCTGTCTGTGACTGTGTTCTTGTGACTGTCTGCTGCTGTCGTGTGTGTGTGTCAATGTATATGTGACTGTCTGCCTGTAACTGTGTCCATGACTGTCTGTGACTGTATGTGCGACTATCTGCATGTGACTGTGTGTCTGTAACTGTGTGTTTGTCTGCCTGTAAGTGTGTGTGCAACTCTCTGCCTGTGACTGTGTGTGTGTGTGTGTGAGTGGCTGTATATGTGA